CTGACAGGTACCCTTCCCCATTTTCTCCTGTTTTTCCCTTCACATTCCCGCATGCATGCAGACCCATGGGAACATTCTGGGTGAGTTACTTGCCCAGAAACCATCACAGCCACAACCGTGGGAACTTTCTGGGCGAGCAGCTTGCCCAGAATCTTCCCACAGGGGGGTGCCAATTATGGAAAGTCGGCAAAGAGCCGAAAACTGTATAGTTCCCGACTCCCATTTGTAGTGGCTTCAGAGGAGGTTGAGAAGGTTACCCTTCTTCTCAACTCATTTCCTGTGAAGGCTGGGGCTAGCCCCCTCAGTGAGTTTGAGGATCTCGGACTGGGACTAGACACCCCAGCAACTAGGAGGATCTCCCTGGCCCTGTCACGGAACAAGGGCCAGACCCTGACACTCATTGATGTGTGAACCTTTTATTATGAAAATTTGGGTGGATTAAGATTAGATCCCTTCCTTTCTAATGGGCCATCAAGCTCATCTTGGTCGTTACTGCTTGTTCTTCACACTTTCCTTTTAAACGTTGTCCTCATTTTCCAAGAGTTTCAGTCATATCTCTGTCGTCTATGGGTAGTTTTCCCTTAATTTACTTTCATTGGGTCCGTTTGGGAGACATCTACATTCCCTATTATGAACACGATTTTGAATTTTTCATTGGTTCCTAAGGAATCCTTGTTCCGCAGTACTTCCAGCCTCGGCTATGTGTGCGGGCGTGGGAAAGTAGTTTCCGTGGAGGTTCTCTGGTTGGTTTAATAGTCAAATCTTGCTTGATTGTCCTAGTTCCTTGTTCAATATTCGCTATAAATTTCCCCAAACATTCCATCTTGTTGGTGAAGTATTTTTATTAATTTTCTTTCTTCCGATTTATCATATGTAGTCATAATAATTCATTAAAATTCGTTAAAATTCAGGTTCTTCTATTTTCTGATATCTACTTGGCGTATGGGGTTTTTTGTGGTTTATCTGACATATTTCCATAATGAGTTTCCATAGGGTGACTGTTATTTCTCCTACAGTGCAGTGCTCCATTCTGAGTTGCTGAAGCTGAGTCCCTTCAACACCCCATCACCCTTGGAGCTCTGTGTCAGGGGATGGACCCCGGGTCCCCATGACCCCTCTCTCTATAGCCCACAGCCCTGTGTGTAAACAGCCTATCCTAAGGCATAACCTACTGTGGGTAAGAAAGTGAGAAGAAGGTTAACTTCTCACTTTCCCACAGTGGCCCAATATGGCGAAAACTTCCAGGGATACCCGGAAGTCACATGAAGAGTGGGAACCAGGCCCGGAGCATGCGGCACATGGAGCATGCAGGGCAGAGCGCACATGTGGGTCCGGGCTAGTCAGGGTGTGTGCCCTGACACTCTGCCCCACCTCCGGTCAGTCTCTGACTGTCAGGGACGGCTCGAGGGAGGCAGAGGTAGCGGCGTAGCGCTCAGCGCTAGCGGCCCAGACAGCGGTGGGGTGGTAAGACCGTATAGCGGGCAGCCCTCACTTGGGCTTACGTCCCTGTGTGGCTTCTTAGGCTGAAGCAGGAAATGTATTGTTATTAGGGTGGGAAGCTAGACTAAACTAGGGTACTTGCCTGAAGCGGGAAATGAGAAGGTTACTTCTTCGGTCCTGCTTCGGCTTAGTTTATATACATGTGTGAACGGGTCACGTGGAAGTGCCACATCACCTTCGGACAAAGCCAGGTTACCGTGGGTGGCTCCACGGTCGATCCCGAGTGTTGGAGGGGAAGTACAAGTAGGAGTGCACGGCGCGTCCGGCGTGGCGGTGCCCCTATGGGGTGCTCAGCATCGGGTGCATCCATGCTACAAGTGTGGGAAAGAAAGAGAAGAGGGAAAGAAGAGAGAAAAAGAGGATGAGGCGAAAGGAAAGGAGGTGGCGGCGGTGGCGGCGGCGGCGTGCCCTGACACTGACCCATTGTCGGACGACCCGGAACACTGAGCTCCACCAGACACACCCGCCTGGGTAGCATTATGGATCTTCCCTGGGTGGGTTTGTGACAAATGCAAGGAATGGTAATGAAGTGGAAAAACAAATGAAAAGAGCAGAAGTTCAATAAAAAGAAAATAGGAGGAATAAGCAGGGGATGGGAAGTGATGAAGAACTCCTTCTCAGGCTGATGGCCTGAGAAATGATAGGAGAAAAGGCCAAGGGCAGATGCTCAGAGAGCACAGAGGCTCAGGGGCAGCCACTGCTGCCAAGGCCAAACCCAAACATTTGCCAAAAAGAGTGAAGTCACCAACTTCAGATGAGGTCACCAAAGTCTGTAGGAGTGCAGCATGGCATTAAGGGGAACCCACAGATGGGCAGGCAACCATTAACACCAGGCCCCATCTTAGGTGACAAATGGCCCTCCCCAGTTACTTTGCCCAGGCAAAGGATAAGTGGAAGTGACCTTCTGCAAAACCCCTCCAGCAACACTGGAAAGAACAAAATAAACTGGGAGGAAAACCACTTCCAAGCACACACTCTCCTGAAATCAGGAGGAACAACTTGCCAATCTGGTGAAGCCAGTCTACTTGGAGGAACTGAGTGTTAAACATGTGGGAGGTGTTTGCAGACCATCACTCCGGCGCAAAAAAGTGATATACAGTTAAGATTGCCACTGTAGTAAAAGGCAGCAATTAGGGAGAGGAATATTAAGTAAATATTTCAACAGGAGAGCTGGTTAACACTCCAGAATTCAAAGTGTAAACACAAAACAGTTATTTTGCTACTGTTAAAACAAGCAATAAAAATAGGATAAAAATAAGACAAGGTCAAGGAACACTTCAGACACGATCTAAACCCATTAACTGAGTAGAATCTTTGAAAATTCACCAAGTAAAAGATTTAATTCAAGTTAAAATCCAAATTAAACAATCCTACACAGAATTATGCCTAGATAAATTGAGAAAATACAATAGAGGAACAGCTCCGCAGGGCTTTGTGTATCTGTAAGTCAATTCTCAGAAACTTTTAGACTAACCCATAAAATAGAATTAGCCAAAACACTTGGATTGGTACTAGGCATTTCAGGTCGATTTTAGACCAAAGGCCTAAAACAAGTATGTACAAGCACCGATATATATAATGGAGAGGGCAAAAGCACAAGGAAACAAAGGGGGTCTGAATCGGAACAAAGGCGTCCGAATGGGAACAAAGGGATGACAGAAGCAGAGCAGTACCGAGGGTCATAGGGCAGAACCTGTGGTACATCCGAAAGGAGGTAAGGAGGGCAAAGCCCAGAGGGGCAGGAGGATGAGGGAAGTGGGGATGATGACTAACTGGCTAGAATGGGAAGAAGCAGCAGTCCAAATAGGGATGAGGGGAAAACGCAAAAGATACATTACAAGTGGCGAAAGTGCCAAAGATGATCCGTGGAGCTCAGAGGTTGCGGAGCTTATGGAGGTTATGGAGGCAGGGTTGAAAGTCCAAGGAATATTGGCAATGGTGTTTACGTAGTATGAGGTCACCAATGCAATGGACTAAAGCCGAGGTGGAGTCAAAGTCTGAGGCAGGAACTATGATGGAGTCTTGGAGCGAAGGTACAAGCAGTGTCTGAGTATGGGGTATGGGACAGCAGCGAAAGGTCGTAACTTGGTGGAGGGTCGGCAGAAGAGGGTCAGAGGGAAGAGAGAGGAGAGAGGAAAGGGGTGAGGAGTGGAGGAGAGGAAAGGTGTCAGGTCCGAAGGTGAGTGTCAGAGCAGATGGGAGAAGGGTAGGTGAGTGATGGAAGGGTGGAGGTGTTGTGAGGAGAAGTAGGAGGAGGAGTGAGAGGAGTGATGTTTGGTCCGAGATGAGTATCGGAGCAAACAGAGATAGGGTAGGAGAAGGACAGGAGGGTGGAGGTGGCATGAGGGGTGAGGGGTGGTGTGGTGTCAGGACCGAAGGTGAATATTGGAATGGACAGTGGTAGGGTAGGACTCCAGAGGTGGTGAAGATGGAGGTCCGGGAGTCGGTTCAGGATCGAGTATGTACGGATATGACAAAGGTGGAGAGCTACTTGAGGTTGGCATGGTTAAGTGGTACACATGGCCACTTTTTTATGTCCAGGTTTGCTATGCTTCCTAATTTTCGCATCCATTTGGCCTCAAATTTGGTACACAAGTAACCCTAACAACTATGTACATACACACCAAATTTCATTATCAAATGTGAAGAAATGAGAGAAATTTGTGGTAATGTATCATTGAGTGGGCAATCTCATTGGGGGATGAAAAACTGTAGTAAGCCAGAGAAATGATAATTGGAACAACAATGCATTGTGAGGTGGATGGTATTGTGGTGTGAGTTGCATTGTAGTGGAATGAGCCGGAATTGTATTGTCATATCGTCAGAATGGGAAAAAAGGACCCTAGGTTACAGAGGACCCTGTGCACAGAGTGGGGCCTAAATTTACAGGACCCGCTACAGAGTAGCGGGAATTGCTGACCTGCCTCAAATGACCATGTTCAAGCTTCAAAAGGATGCAGCTTGGTGAGTAATGCAGCAATACTTGGGACTGCCATTGGACTGTTTCAGCCTCCCTTGGATCGAGGATGACTTCCACAACTTTGCCATGAGTGCCATTCACAACATATCTGTGTTTTACCATGACCTTTCCGCTGATCGCAAAGTAAACAATATCGGGGAGCTTGGTACCGTTGAGGACAGCCCGGCTTTTATAGCTTGCTCTGGCCAAAGACCTTCACCACTGACTTTTCTCAATGCAGACCTAGATTGCGGAATGGATGATATTGTCCCAGTATTTTTCGTAATTCCTAGCATGATTCAACTCATATTTCATTTCACGTTATCGCTGATTCCCCACAAATTATCTCTTTTCGTGACTTTGATTTGACAGTTCCTCTGTTCATTCAACAGCTGCGCGAGAAAATGTCAGACTCATGATTAGCAGTACAGTAGCATGTGATCCGCAAGCAAGGTCGTGGTTGCGAAGCAACCTTTCTAGTTTCGCTTCACTATGGGTTCGGGCGAAATACAACATCAACTCGACACGGGGGCTTTTGTAACTACATAGATGTTCTGTTAGATGCGTGTACATCTGGGAGCGGAGGATTAATGAAGGAACCATCGGGCCAGTCGGGCCAAATGAAAATTGCGGTGTTCGTGGATGCGATGGCCCCATCGAATATGATACCTCTTTCCCCAAACAGGCGATTCAAGACGCTGTCCTTCAAACACGGGAGGGCTAAGGATAAGATCGCAGTGAGTCGTGGTCGTTTTCGTGGGCGCGATCCGTATGGCAGGGCATCTCGGTGAGTCGAGAATCGTCCCGAATTTGGATAAGAACCAGAGAACTTATCAACGAAAGAATGTGAGCGGAAATCCGATTATCTCGCCTACGATTGGATGACTCACCAACACCATTTGTCCAGCCGAAGCCTACTTGGACCGTATATTCGCCTCCGCTGCCGGCAACATCGATGTGAAACACATTGGTTTTTTCAAACATATTGCCATCGTTACCAGCCGAGTTGGTGGCTTCCAAGTCCTCGGGAGGTAGCCTAGTTAAAAGGCCAGGGATTGATCCACCAGTTGAGTACCTGTGGTTGGAATAAACAATGCGATCAACAAAAAGATCTGGTGATGATTAAGCCGATGATACTTGCCATGAACAGAATACACTCGAGATGAATCTGTTGGCCAGTTCCCTGCTAAGAGCGCTTGCCCAAGTCTCGCCTATAGCTGCGGTACCCCCGTTGATGACCGTTGTCCCACTGAGAACCCTTGCCTCATTCTCGCCGATATAATAATCAATCTCATTTATATCGCCACTGGCGTAGCCTCCATCAGCATACGGTTGACGCGGTAATTCGGATTCGCTGAAACCGAGTTGATTGGGAGGAACAAGGGAATAGGTAGTAACGGTGTCCGAAAGAGGGGTCAGAAGAGTGGTCGTTATGTTTGATGGCAGAGATCGTAGTGCTTCGAAGGTGACAAACTGGTGAGGTGGCCAGGCACTGCACACAATATCCCGTTAATCACGTTGGGCCAAAAGTCAGAACGAAAACCAACTAACTTCGGTGCATCCCACTGTTGTCCGTTGACGAAGAAGCTAGAAGGTAACGTCCCGTTATATCTGGCCATCACGAGTCTCACACCACTGAAAGCTTGCTTGGCAACTTTCTCGCTGGAGAGAACATCGTAAGGAATGATCCCATCCCAGTATGGCCAAAAAGTCGCAGGCGTGAAGACTGTCCCTCGAGCATTTGAAGTGAGGTTGAAGTCATAAAAGGCTACGCGATCCGCGTCCCAGAAGAGATCGAGTATAGCATCTCTGATCACACTGGCTACTGCGCGATGGTGCACCGCACGCTGCCGGTCATTAGGTTGTTGAGCATGGGGGAGGTCACGGGATAAGCACTGGTCTTTAGAGGAATCACGAAGTTCGTATAGGTCGGCGAGGAGCATTCTATACTTGTCTATAAGAACCTCGTGTTATCTACAGAGGTAACCCTCGCACACAAGAAATGCTCACAGAGAACACTGTTTAAGTCGACGGGCATTGTACTCCGTACGTTCAGCGTGCGGAACGCTGGCATTGTATCATCAATGCTTCCTAGCATCGGCTGCCGAAGCCAGCTATTTTGGTTTGGTGTTAAAACCACATTGCCCTCGCATGGAATTATCGGGCTTTACCGGGAAGCAAAATCCCACCCGCTTTCCGTCGCGCTCGCAATCTCCGCATATAAATCCGCTTTCTTCTGCTCGCTAAATGGTACTAATATATCAGGTCCATTCGCGGCATGGAAATCTTGGATGAAGCCCTTTAGTGGAAGGTGTTCCAGCTTGTATGTGTGGTTAGTTTAAGCGAATGATACCCACCTCGGGACGAGGAGCAGTGCTTTCAGCAGCGAAGTGCGCAACCTCCCAGGTACGATTTGTGTACGGTGAAGTGACATTGATTGTCCGGTTAGTATACCACCATGCCAGCTCGACCTCGGATACAGAACTGAGTCAGTTGAATAAAGCTACGATTAGATTGATTTCGTCAGCATACTTCAGCGAGGGGAAGCGCGCGGTCGAGTATGGCTGTATCATTCGTTGCACTGACATACGCATGGACCATCTACAAGCACTATTGTTAGAGCAAGGCACAGTCCTGGAGTTCGAACATATGATTATATACCCGCATGAACATGGGTGGTTGGCTCCGATTTAAATAGTATGTTCGCCCGCCATTCGGGATGAATCCTATTTTTTCGATCATGTCCATAAAATTTTGCAGCATGGAATTGACGATCGAATAGTATTCCGATTGAAGGAGTCCCTGTGTAATGAGAGTCAGGTATCAGCACCATAACTAAACTCGATCGCTTGCTTCGATTATCCAATACGAGTCCCAGTAATATTGCTCTAGCAAGGCTCCATCAGATCTTTCGTTTGCTCTCCCTTCTGCTGTCGGCCCCGGACTTGCCTCTAAATCGACCGCCAGGAACAACAAAGGTATGATTCATAGGAATATAGGTGCCTTCGCAATTGACTCCATCACATATCTCGCCCTGCTTAGAACATCTCACGAGTTGGCTCCAATATCCATGGACAATGTGAGCCCACCCGAGCATAAGAGGGTCATGAATTCTAGTAGGCGAGAGGAAAGAAGGAGTGGAGTTATCAAGGGATGGGTCGATAACACATGGGGATATTTCTTCTAGCTCGAGTCCTTCGCTTTTCTAGAAAGACTGTTAGGGGGAATATAGGAGTTCGGACGAGAGATTTACAAAATTGGTATTGACAAAGTCTATTAATCGTTGATAGGTCGTCGTAAGCATAGGATTGGCTGGATCACCACCAGAAACGCCTCCTTCGAAAATAGAATGGAAGTACTCGAGCGTTTCATTGGTGGAGGTGACCGTCGGCTTGTCCACGAACGTCTTAGAGTCATTGTAAAGCCCCGCTAGGTTAATCGCTTGTAATATCTAGCCATTGACATAGACATTCATTCGACACCAAGACGGGGCAGGAAACGAACGCACCGGAGACCCCGGACAAAATATTTCGCTACGACACCAAGTTTGATTTTGTGCTATTGGTGGCTGCAACACTAACGGCGCATCCAACGGGTAAGGAGAATTTGGCACACACGTGGGAATGGTGGGCGCCTGAGGCCAACTCGTCGCTACTGTTCTGTCCAGAGAACTACGCGAATCCGTCATAGCTGTTGTCCAGGTATCCCGCTCAACGCGTAGATCCACAATGCTCGACACCCCCTTCCCGAGGCGAGTCTCCAGTAATTCAAACATGCTTGTCCACCACCGCCGAAGATTGTGCAATGCCTTCACCGGGTCGGCCACATTGCCGGTCTGCAAGCAAATAGACAGTGCTATAGCACTGAAGAGGATGAACATATAGCTTGGAGTCATGAAGGGATAGGATTTAGTGGACCAAGAGAGAAGGCGCTAGCGGCCACTTGCTGCCCTTCAGCCTATAGGTATAAGGGGACTTTTCAGCCAACAAATGTATTGTAACCAAGCACGGGATCCGGGCTCGGAAGCTGAAGGGACGCGTGTCAAATTGCGCGCTTCGGGTCAGATGCCATTGCTTGGAGTGCTTTCCTGCCCGTGTTGTTGCGCTGCGAGCCGATTGTCCGGTTGATTCCAGACATTTGGCCTGGCGCAGCGTGCCCACAGAACGTGCTGATGTGACAGCCGCCCGAGGTCTCCGTCTTGCCCGCTGACAATGTCCGTTCGTCACCAAGACTGTAAAACTGTTTTCAGTAGTTTCTACATTGAACTATCAAGATACAGAAGGAGGCTAGCATGGGTTAGCCCTACGTCAGCGTGGAGATGGCGTTGATAGCTCAGGGTGCCAGACGCATGCATGATGCGAAACATACTCTCACTTATTGAAGTACACTTAAGCTGGCTTCTCCCAAGAATTAGCTATATGACGCTACACACCAATAACGCACCTTGTATTGATGATCTCCTCAGTTGTACTGTCGTTCAATCTCAGTGTAAGAACCGCGTATCCTGTTGGAATGCGAGTTACATGTGTGGACCAAACTGGAATATCGGAGAATATTCTATGGGTGACTAAGCGCCTGCATCAGCGCTGCCCATAGAAAACCCCCAGAATCAGACTCGTACCCAGCCGTCTCCGCTACGTGGACGCGCAAAATCTCGACTAAGTGGTTGTTATATTACAATTCAGTTATAAAGTCACGTTCAAGTACAAAAGTGTATTACAATATAAAAGTCACATGCGACGGACATAAACACAAGTCCGATCACCTACTCCGGAAACCAACTCGCGACACTTCGCTCCGACGACTGGTGCAAAATGGCAGTGGCAGTACCACTCGGCAATTGCCGAGTTCGACACGACAGAAAGAGATTGCGGACACGTGAAGTTCCCACGAAAACATAAGTCGCACAATGGATCTTTTGGTGTTAACCCATGCGGTCTTGTACCCAACCCAACCCATAGCACTTGGGGAGCACCTTGAGGGCTGTGAAATTAACATCTGGGCATGGGCGGAAAATCAACCCTTATATATTACTTTGATCCTAAGATACAATTCATGCTCAGTAGTATAGGTGGCACAGCGTGAGCTAGCTATATAACCTTTTTTGGCTGTGTATGTTCGATTCTCAGCCGGTAAACCTTTGTTTTTTCTCATTCCTTGCTCTTTAGTGTGCACAAATTTTACAACTATTCCACAGGAGAACACAAAAAAGTTGTACCAAGTGAGAATCGAACATACGCAGCCAAAAAAGGTTATATAGCTAGCTCACGCTGTGCCACCTATACTACTGAGCATGAATTGTATCTTAGGATCAAAGTAATATATAAGGGTTGATTTTCCGCCCATGCCCAGGTGTTAATTTCACAGCCCTCAAGGTGCTCCCCAAGTGCTATGGGTTGGGTTGGGTACAAGACCGCATGGGTTAACACCAAAAGATCCATTGTGCGACTTATGTTTTCGTGGGAACTTCACGTGTCCGCAATCTCTTTCTGTCGTGAAGTGTCGCGAGTTGGTTTCCGGAGTAGGTGATCGGACTTGTGTTTATGTCCGTCGCATGTGACTTTTATATTGTAATACACTTTTGTACTTGAACGTGACTTTATAACTGAATTGTAATATAACAACCACTTAGTCGAGATTTTGCGCGTCCACGTAGCGGAGACGGCTGGGTACGAGTCTGCCCCAGAATACATATTATTGCAGCGTATAAATATATGGGCGCTGGGCCGCCATATGTATTCAGTTACAGTTACATACTTCCCTTTCCTCTACATTACTTCCGGACTGCGGGCGGGCTCGAACCCATCCGTCTCCGCTGCTTCGTGGACGCGCGGATGTGAACTTCTTAACCCCGTTACATGTGACTCAGCGGTTTAAAATGAATGCATCCATGCATCCACCACCATGTTCTAAGTAGTTGGTGTGGCCAAGTATGTGGATCCCTCGGAGTGTCGCATTTTTCTCAGAGTGTAACTGCAACATTACTTCGATATGATTTTAATTGTCAAACAGCGGGGACAACCGTGGTCTATCCCCGTGCGAAGGACAAGAAGCAAAGAGAAACAAGAAAAAGCAAACCATGCTTCATACACCATGCATATTTCGTCTTAATACTGATCATCAAAAGCAAGGTGAACTCTTCTTCCACTTGCTAATGCTTTCTCCACAGAGGATCGCCTACCATCCTCATCCCTTCAAATGGCGCGTATGGTTTCGAAAAATGATTACTCCTCGTAGAATTTGTAGGTGTAATCCGGATAGCAGGGCAATGAGGCCTGTCGATGATCTTCCCGTACTTCGACGCAAAGTACAGCGCTAGCCAAGAGGGGGGGCGTAAGAGGATATTGAGCGATCAACCGTACGGGAGTAAAACGCGACATACCGACACCATTGGTCCACCCAAATCCTACCTGTACGGTATACTCTCCACCACCGCCCGCAACATCAATATCAAACATGCTAGTCTTCTCGAACATATGTCCCATACTCCCAATCGAATTCGTCGCATTCAACTCCTGAGGAGGAAGTTGATCCAAAAGACCAGGAATTGATCCACCCGTCGAGTACCTTTATAAACACACAACGAGAACAAAAAGGTCAGTGCCAAACAATTTGAAAAATGGACCAAGAAAGAGAAAGTGCAAGGCACTCACCAAGAACAAAAGACGCTCGATATGTACCGATTCGCCAATTCCCTGCTAAGCGCACTAGCCCAATCCTCCTTCGTCGTTGCATTCCCACCATTAACCACAGTAGTCCCGTTTGTACCCCCACCACGCGCGACAGCGACCTCATTGATATCCCCACTCGCATATCCACCCCTATCGAGAGGTTGAAGTGGAAGTTCGCTCTCAGTGAATCCTAATTGGCCCTTCGGAATGAGTGAGAACGACGAAACGTTCGCTGACAATGGTGTCAACGGTTTGCTGGTAATACTCTTCGGTAGAGACTTGAGTGCTTCAAATATAATGAACTGATGAGGTGGCCATGCACTACCAATCAAACAGTACAAACACGAAGGTAAAATTGAGAAAAGAGGGGAAAGAAATTAAATCAAAGGAACTCACTTAGGCGCATCCCACTGCAATCCATTGACCAAAAAACTAGCCGGGAACGTCCCATTATACCTGCTCAGAACCAACCTAACACTCCCAAACGCTTCCTTAGCCTTATCCTCGCTCTCAAGTACCTCTTTCGGTATGATTCCATTCCAGAAAGGCCAAAACGCAGCAGGCGTAAACACCGTCCCTCTCGCATTGGACGTCATATTAAAATCGTAAAAAGCTAATTTCTTTGGATCCCAGAATAGATCTAGGATGGCCTGTTTGAGGTTCGAGGCAATGTGACGGTGATGACAGGCTCGCTGATGGTCTGCAGCTCCCGCATTCTTTCGAAGGTCGTAGAGATCCGCAAGTAATAGACGATATTTGTCTAATTCATCTCATCAGCCTTGTGTCCCTCTCGAGCTCAATAAAGCAAAAGAGGAAATAAAAAGACTCACAAAGAGCGCTATTCAAATCAACAGGAATAGTCTTCCTCACGTTCAACGTCCTCAACGCAGGAGTCGTATTGGTAGTATTCCCAAGCAAAGGCTGTTGAATCCATCTGACAACGACGACGACGGCAACAGAGACAGAAATATCAGCATTTCTTCCTGAAAGCAGGCGGATCCACCATAAAACATACCTAGACGAATAGTCATGCCCACTCTCAGCCCCGCTAGCCAACTCAGCATACAAATCGGCTTTCTGGCTCTCATTATACGGAACCACCAAATCAGGCCCATTCGCAGCCAAGTAGTCCTGCAAGAACCCCTATAATACACCAAAAAAAGGAACACCAACGGATTAGTCAGTTAAGAGTGCTTCTCTTGCCGACCACATCACCATACTCGCTCCCACCCAAGGGCAGTGGCCAGTGACGAGTGGGTGAAATATAAGTTGGGAAGTGGAGAGAGGAGAAAAGAAGAGTGTTGCACATGCCTCAGGCCTAGGCGCGCTGTTCACAACCGCGTACCTCGCAACATCCCACGTCTTCCTGGTATATGGAGACCTAACGCTAATCGTCCGATTCTTCTCCCACCACGCCAATTCCACCTAAAAACATGCCCCCCACCCCCCAAATCCCAAATTCCATTTCCGATGATTGCCCAGATAGGGTGCGGAAGTATTCGAAGGGACGTGCATCGAATGAGCCATGGCATAAACAAGGAATGAAGAAGGAAGCACACCTCAGCGAGGGGAATAGCTCTATTCAAAATCCACACATCCCCCGTAGCGTTCACGTACGCCCAAAGCATCTACAATGTGTTGTCCCCAAAATGACAGGGAAGAAAAAAGAGTGAGTAAATAAATAAACCAATTGATGAGTCATATCGATCAGGCACGTCAAGCAAATCCAAAGGTGAGATCTCGATCTCAGCGGTTCGTCGCCACATTAACATCGCTTCGATCGATAAGGGCTCCTCGCTCCCCTTGTCGTCACCACTTCCAGGGACGGGGGAGAGAAGAAAGGAGCAGGCCGACCAAGATACGCAAAAAACGACACACACCTTCATAAACATAGGAGGCTGACTCCTATTCAAATAATACTTCCGCCCTCCATTCGGTATGAACCCAATCATCTCCAACTCATCCATAAAGTTCTGCAACGTCGAGTTCACGATAGAATAGTGCTCCGATTGGAGGAGGCCCTGTATCATGCCGTATAGTGAAGCGAAAGTGAGCGATAGGAGGGGAAGGAAAGGGGGTCGGGAGAGAAAAGGAAAAAGGCACACAAACACACCTCAACGATCCAATACGAATCCCAATAATACTGCTCCCTAAACCTACCCCCGGGGACGACGAACGTATGATTAAGCGGTATCAACGTGCTCTCGCACCCTGCTGCACCTCCAGTACATAGCTTAGACGGATCGGTCCCCCTCACGAGCGCACCCCAATACGAATGAACTACTCCCGACCACCCCAATACCAACGGGTCAGGGATCCTAAGAGGAGATAAAAAAGAAGGTGTGGTGTTTTGCTGTGAAAGCGGGATGAGCTCGAGACCTTCTCCTTGCTGTCAGGTCAGTTGGCAGGCACACACACATGCATGCATGCATGCGCGCACATGTAAGCGTTCGTAGCGTAAGTGCAGGGGGTGAGTATTAGAATTGAGCTGGGGATATACGGGGAAACGCACGAAATCAGCATCCACGAAATTGACCAACTCCCCATACGTCACGTTCGGATTGGGACTGGGTCCCACACCGACAATACCGTAAAAATCGTCAAGCGTCCGATTGGAAGGAAGCCTTGTAGGCTTGTCCACGAACGTCTTCGAATCAGAGTACAACTGTGCAATGTTGATCGTTTGAAGAAGCTATCAAATCGCCAAATCGCCAATTCCGTGTTTATGGAAGTGGCGCAATCAAGAAAGAAGGGTGTTCCGTAAATAATGAATCAGCAAACAGAACCACTATTCCCGGAGATGGAAGAAAAATGAGAACTTACTTCTCCATTACAAAAAATCTCACTTGGGCACCAAGCCTGTTTCGGAGCTTGAGGACCGATATTAGGGATTCTTGCATTTAAAGGACTCGAAGGGCTAGGGACGCTCGTTTGGACCGTCGTTGCTGTCGTCGTGGTTGTACTAGAACCAGGATCGCGAGGGAAGAAAGCATCACGCTTTGCATAGGGAGGGCGGCGGCGTTGGGGTTGTTGGTTTGCGAGGGGCGGACTGGGAGTGGGAGAGAAAGTGGGAGCGCTGCTAGGTTCCGTATTTTGAAGCTGGCTGCCGTTATCAACGTAAAAGTTGTTGAATGTGGATCTGAATACATCCTTCACAAAGTTGCAACCTAGGCCCACAAAGGAAGAAGGCGAAGAATGGGTACTACTAGGTGGAAGGAGACGGCGAGGGGACGGCGACTGTGCTGGTGGGAAGGAAGCTGAAGAAGCGCCATGTACGAAGATTAAAAGGTTTAATGCCGTAAAGAGGAGAAGACGTTGATGAGACGTGATATTCTTCTTGAAATCCATCACTTTCGTTCGCAAGGACGTTGGAATCTGCAGCTCTCTGCAGGTAGCAAGTGTAGTAAGTAATCAGAACAGCTCAGGAAGCTTAGAAACTCAAAGAACTTGAGCCTTGAGAAGCATCAGCGCCGCAGGAAAGAAAGGAATGGGTTACAACTAGACACTTACCCCCCTTTCACCCCAGTAGGATATCGTAGCTGCGGGGAGACACGTTGCGGATCAAGAAGGAGCAAGCGGGAACAAGCCCAAACCAACAAGTCGCAAAATACGAGAGTGTGGCTAACGAAAGGGTGCCGGCTAAGTCTCTGAGAAGTCTGACTTGCTCAGACTAATACCCCATTGGGATCGACCCACTTCTTCCCTTTATACATGAGCATCGCGCGCCATGTGGTGCACCGGTAATGAGTTCCAGTGTCTATTCGCTGATGTGCAAGTCGCAAAAACAAGGTCACGCATCCATGACCCGCCAACACATAAAAGAGCATATGGCAGCACTGAACGTGGAAGATAGATCTTGGGGCCCATTGTTAGCAGGTGACTAGGTCTTACCAGTCGTAGCGCTAAGCGTGAGTGGCAACCGTAAATATACTGGTTGGGATCTCCATTCCCCGCAATATTGGCCCTGGCGACAATTGGTAAAAACCTGGAAATTAGGTGAACCATGTCGGAATGATCGAGACTGAATATGGAAACCGCCCGTGCTTGAAGCAATCACGAATTCTCAAGTCCTGCGTTAGATGTGGTTGAGAGAGCTGACGCAACGTTCCGCCATGCTCCCGATCTTACGCCGCGCCGTCTCTGTGAGACCTGATAATCGATGTAGGACCGTTTTCCAGTCGGTCGTCACGGTCTTAAATCATATCTGCTTTGCGATGATCTTTCGTTTCCGACCTCGGCCGGACATCAATTTCACAAACTCAGGCGCGGTACAAAACACAGAAGAAACTTCCCTCCTGTCTTGCGGACATTAGATGAATATGTGGCATTCTATTAAAATGATACAAACTTCGCGTTGAGATCATAGTTCTAAATCGTTAATACAGCGAGTTCGTGTTCAACATCAGACTCCTTCCCAGACTCGTACCCAGCCGTCTCTGCTACGTGGACGCGCAAAATCTCGACTAAGTTGTTGTATTAGAATTCAGTTGTAAAGTCACGTTCAAGAACAAAAAGTGTATTACAATACAGAAGTCACATGCGACGGACATAAACACAAGTCCGATCACCTACTCCGGAAACCAACTCGCGACACTTCGCTCCGATGACTGGTGCAAAATGGCAGTGGCAGTACCACTCGGCAATTGCCGAGTTCGACACGACAGAAAGAGATTGCGGACACGTGAAGTTCCCACGAAAACATAAGTCGCACAATGGATCTTTTGGTGTTAACCCATGCGGTCTTGTACCCAACCCAACCCATAGCGCTTGGGGAGCACCTTGAGGGCTGTGAAATTAACACCTGGGCATGGGCGGAAAATCAACCCTTATATATTACTTTGATCCTAAAATATAGTTCATGCTCAGATGTATAGGTGGCACAGCGTGAGTTGACGATATAACCTTTTTGGCTGTGTATGTTCGATTCTCACTTGGTACAACTTTTTTGTGTTCTCCTGTGGAATAGTTGTAAAATTTGTGCACACTAAAGAGCAAGGAATGAGAAAAAACAAAGTTTTACCAGCTGAGAATCGAACATACACAGCCAAAAAAGATTATATCCCTAGCTCACACTGTGCCACCTATACTACTGAGCATGAACTCTATTTTAGGATCAAAGTAATATATAAGGGTTGATTTTCTGCCCATGCCCAGGTGTTAATTTCACAGCCCTCAAGGTGCTCCCCAAGCGCTATGGGTTGGGTTCATTGTGTGACTTATGTTTTCGTGGGAACTTCACGTGTCCACAATCTCTTTCTGTCGTGTCGAACTCGGCAATTGCCGAGTGGTACTGCCACTGCCATTTTGCACCTGTCATCGGAGCGAAGTGTCACGAGTTGGTTTCCGGAGTAGGTGATCGGACTTGTGTTTATGTCCGTCGCATGTGACTTCTGTATTGTAATACACTTTTTGTTCTTGAACGTGACTTTACAACTGAATTCTAATACAACAACTTAGTCGAGATTTTGCGCATCCACGTAGCGGAGATGGCTGGGTACGAGTCTGACTCCTTCCCAGTTGCTCACATGATTTCTCCGAGGTTTAGCTGCAACTTACGGTGCCTCCAAAATCTGTCGAGTGACTGGTACAACTTGCAACACATGATGTTCCCACACTAAGTTGTAATGAGTTGTACATAGGTTGTGGAATATAATTTTTAGTATTTATGCATGCGGTCATTGCACCCAACCCAACCCATGGAGACTAAGGGAGCACATCCAGGGTTGTGAAGTCAATATCCGGGTGTGCACGAAGTTTAACAGTTTATATATTACTTGGTTACCAGTCACTTGTTTGTGCCTGGTGGCATAAGTGGTACAGCATTAGCTGAGGCTATGCAGTTTTTTTAAGTGGCACATGTTTGATTCTCACTTAGGAAAACTTTTTTTTTCATACCCTCCACTCCTTAGTGTACAGAAAACACCATTTCACACAATTATTCCATGGGAGGGCCCAAAAAAAGTTTTCCTAAGTGAGAATCAAACATGTGCCACTTAAAAAAACTGCATAGCCTCAGCTAATGCTGTACCACTTTATGCCACTGGGCACAAACAAGTGACTGGTAACCAAGTAATATATAAACTGTTAAACTTCGTGCACACCCGGATATTGACTTCACAACCCTGGATGTGCTCCCTTAGTCTCCACAGGTTGGGTTGGGTGCAATGACTGCATGTGTCATATCCATCCCTGGCCATCGACTTCCGGTCCCTCCGATTCCTCCGTTCCAACTCCGCTCCTCCCTCACTAACCTCGGAGCCCCCGTATTCCGCAATCCTCTCGGCACCCCTTGATGGTCACCACCCCCTCATTTCAATTTATTACCTACGCCTCCCTAAGTACGGAGCCCCGAAGACTTCCGGACAGCTCTGACGTCCGCTAGCGCACCCCCACCTCCGCTGGGCAATACACTCGCCTGCCCTGCAGAGCCCACCTTCGGGCCTATCCCTCCTTTCCGTTTCTGGGTTATCGCCTGCCTTCCCGCTAACCCCGCGAACCGACTCGTCGGTAATATTCAGTCGGCTAATGTTAAACCCCGTTAGCTCCACTCCGTTCGGCTCCACCAATTGCGGACCCGTCTCCACTGTAACCATATATATATCCCACTTGTACATAGGTTACACCCCAGTAGTAAAATCAACTAGAGTTACCCCCCTAGGTTCTAATTGCCAGTCAGTAAGTTAGGGCATGGACATGTCACTAGGCACAGCGCTCTTGGCAGAAGTCGCTGAGGCCGAAGCCCTCCGCTACGGAGACATTCCTTCGTCTCAAATCTGGTCTCTGACAGTATTTTACTACTCCCTGACTAGTACACGTCTTGTATGGCACCAAAAGTCCTTCGCACTCGTTCGCAACTATGCACATTAGTTCCCAACTCCGCTCCACCTTCCCCAGAACCTTCTCAGCCTGGTCCTAGTCGATTGGCGAGAAACCCAGTTGAGTTTCGAAGCTTTTCTAACCTTGAAACCCCTCTCCCATCGACTCCGATCATGCGCCCCGTTAGGAATTGATCACCAGTTGCAGACTCCGACTTCGGAGACACCACGGAACAACCCATAGATCCCGTCCACTTCTTTGGACTCGGTTCCGAGGTCCCCGACTTCGTCAACCCTCCTCCTGCTGATCCTCCCATCCCCACTGTCCCAACCGCCGACGATGCCGAACCCACCTCCAACGTGGCCATTACACAATTGGCCCAAGCCATTGCCAGTCTGGCTCGTCACACCAGACGACGACGACAACGACCATCTTCTGCTCTCCGGACCAAGGTCCGCAAACCTGAACAGTTCGACGGAAAGGATCCCCGAGAACTCCGAGTATTCTTGGTCCAATGCGAGCTCAATTTCCAGGACCGTCCCCTCGCTTTTGCTAGCGACCGTGCTAAAGTCATATTTGCGCAGTCCTACCTCAAGGGAATGGCCCTCGATTGGTTCGAGCCGGACCTGTTATTCGACCAGAATTCCACGCTTCGTCCGCGATGGATGAACGACTATCAAGAGTTCGTTAATGAACTTCAAACTAACTTCGGCCCTCACGATCCTGTGGGCGACGCCGAGGTTCAACTGATGACACTGGACATGAAGGACGGGCACCACATCAATAAATACGTCGTCGAGTTCAATCGACATGCCTCTCAACTTCACGGTTACGGAGAAGCCACGCTTCGTCGTTTCTTCTATAACGGATTGCCAGAACGTATCAAGGATGATATTGCCAGAGTAGGTAAACCCTCTACTCTCTCTGAGCTTCGCACCCTTTCCCAAACTCTCGATGTGCGCTATTGGGAGCGTAAATCGGAAGTTACACGTCACGCGAAACCCTCTTCCTCTAACGTTTTCGACAAGTCCACCGCCGCTTCTCGTTCCGACCCCGTCCCTTCCTCCTCCTCTTTCAACTCCGCTTCCGGTAGTAGGCCTCCGAAGGACAATAAGAAGTCCGAGGCCAGCTCCGCTAAACCGGACCTCTCGTCTAAACTCGGAGACAACGGTAAGCTCACGCCACAAGAGCGTAAGCGTCGTCTCGACGAGAAACTGTGTATGTTCTGCGGTCAGTCTGGCCACATGGTCAAGGACTGTCCCAAGTCTTCTTCTCGCGCGTCTAAGGCCCGTTCGGCCCAGACCGAGGAGCAAGGATCCGCTTCCGCAGAAGCAAAAAATTAGTCCGCACCCCCGTGGACTCCGCACGGACCGGGGGTTGCGATCCTTCCTTCCGTGCGCTCAAAGAAGTGCGTTTAAACGCATCTTCCATTTCCGACTTATCCTCCCTCCACATT